CCAACTGGAGCTCCTGGCTGCTGGCTTCTGGCTGGCCAGACCTAGTCATTGCAGTGATTTGGGGACTGAACCAGTGGATGGAAAGTCTTTTACCTCTTTGTCTCTGACACTCAAAGAAATAAAAAGTTCAAACAGTTTCCTTGCCATATAAATTCTACATCTGCCGGCTCTTCTAAGAACAAGAGGCGCATGATGCAAGAGGTCCTTGTTAAGAACCCACATGACAGCAGTGCTTGGAGTATGATAGAGGATTGCTATTTTGAGTTAAAATGATGGGTTTATTACCTGCTGCAACCTCCCCCCCCAAAGACTGACTCAATTTTAGTGTTATAGCTTTACTTATCGTTTCCCTGGTATCTGGCACAGTGTCTGCCAAGCAGTTCCCACTGACTCACTGTTTCATCAATAAGAAAAAGCTAGATAAACATTAAGCCTCCAGAATACTCTCAAGTTTTGCTGCTTCCCATTCATCCTTCCCTTTACTTAGAGATGCTTCCTTGCAATCAAGGTACTGCGTGCTATACTTTGAGATGTGGGCACTCTTGAAGAGGGATGAGGAGCACAGGCTAAACAGCACAGGCGCTGGCTCTGTGAGGACAGTGCACTGCAGCACACTGAGTGTACAGAACAGAGCATGGGGGTTCAGGCTCCACCTCAGTTCAGGGAGCGCTCTGTCTTATAGCACATCAATACTACACGCCTGTCCTCTGCACTAGATGAACACTTCATCGGTAGGTAACACACTCTAGAAATACAGTTTTTAACTTAGGAAAAACAGCATCAGAATACATATGCCAAGTGCCCCTTGTCCTTGCTTTTTGAATTTTTTTAAAAAAGATTTATTTATTTTTATTGCAAAGTCAGATACATATAGAGAGGAAGATCTTCCATCCGATGATTCACTCCCCAAGTGATTGTAACTGCCAGAGCTGCGCTGATCCAAAGCCAGGAGCCAGGAGCTTCTTCTGGCTCTCCCAAGTGGGTGTGGCATCCCAAGGCTTTGGGCCATCCTCAACTGTTTTCCCAGGTCACAAGCAGGGAGCTGGATGGGAATTGGAGCCGCCAGGATTAGAACCGGCGCCCATATGGGATCCTGGTGTTTGCAACATGAGGACTTTAGCCACTAGGTCATTGCACTGGGACCCCAGTACTTTGCATTTATGAGACAAATTCTCTGGGTGACTGATATGTGTGTGTGTGTGTGTGTGTGTGTGTGTGTGAGAGAGACATCGCAAAAAGTTTGTGGAAGATGAAATTTAAAAATAAGCTTACTTTGGTACAAAAGAATTTTTAAAGTGTGTAATACAGCGATCTTCAAAAAGTTCATGAAAATGCATACTATATGTGTGGATTTTAAAAACTTTCATATCAGAACATTTTAAAAAAACCATTTATTTATTTGAAATGCAGGAAGAGACAAACATAAATCTTCCATCTGGTTGGTTCATTCACCAGAGCTAAGAGCCTGGAACCCCATCTGGGTCTCCCATGTGGGTGCTGGAAGCCATCATCCACCGTCTCCCAGGCACAGGGGCAGAAGGCTGGACTGGAAACAGACACAGCACTCAAGCCCAGGCACTCTTATACATGAGTATCCTAAGCAGCGAGTTAAACCATAACACCTGCCCCTACAAGATATCTTTTAAGTGTATTTTCCTCAGACGTTTTGAAGTACACATACACACTCTGCAAGTGCCGAGAAACAACATATCAAGACAGATTCTAATCTGGACCATAAAATAACACCAATAATTAAAAGAACTAAGATCATACAGAGCATGTTCCCCCCCATTCACAATGGAATATTAACAGAGAAATAACAGGATAAGCTTCAAATACCTAGAAAACATTTTAAATAATCCATGAAGTAAATATGTGGAAATGAATGAACATACAACAAATCAACAACCTGTGGATTCAACTGCAGCCATGCTGGGAACCAAACTTATAGTTAAATCACAAAAAGGGGAGAAGGGGCCCGTGTTTTGGCTCAATTAGTTAATCCTCTACCTCCAAGCACCTCATTCCACATAGGTGCCAGTTCATATCCCAGATGCTCCACTTTCCATCCAGCCCCCTGCCTGTGGCCTGGGAAAGCAGTGGAGGATGACCCAATGCCTTGGGACCCTGTACCCACGTAGGAGCCCCAGAAGTTCTAGTTCCTTACTTCAGATTGGACCAGTCTGGCTGTTTTAGCTGCTGGGGGAGTGAATCAGTGGATAGAAGATATTTCTCTGTCTCTCTTTCTCTCTGTAAACTCCATCTGCCTTTCCAATAAAAATAAATAAATATTTAAAAAAGAGGGGGAAGGATGTCTCAAATCCAATTTTTTAAAGAAATTTTTAAAAAAAAGATTTATTTTATTTTTATTGCAAAATTAGATATACAGAGAGGAGGAGAGACAGAGAGGAAGATCTTCTGTCCACTGATTCACTCCCCAAATGGCCACAATGGCTGGTGCTGCGCCAATCTGAAGCCAGGTGCCAGGAGCCTCTTCCGGGTCTCCCACGTGGGTTCAGGGTCCCAAGGGTTTGGGCCGTCCTCAACTGCTTTCCCAGGCCACAGGCAGGGAGCTGGATGGGAAGCAGGGCCACCGGGATAACAACAAGCCTCCATACGGGATCCTGGCATGTACAAAGCGAGGATTTTAGTCGCTAGGCTACCATGTCAGGCGCTCAAATCCAAAATTAAAATCCCACCCGAAGAACCCAGAAAAGAGCAAAATGAATCCAAAACCAGCAAAAGCGAGGACATTAACAAAGATCAAAATTAATGAAAAAAGAAAACAAAAAACAAAGAATTGATTCTTTGAAACAATCAATAAAAGTGATATACTTTTAGCAAGATGGAGAAGGGAGATTTTCCTTTCTTCCTCCTAGCCTCACATCAACTTCTCACCTCCTTTGCTTCAGACTGCCCAAGGGACTCTGTTCAGTCATGGCAACCGATACTCTAAGTTCTTCCTGCAAGTAACTTCCTCTAAGTTTCTTCCTAAGTAGTTAGAAACTGTCACAATGTAAACACTATGGAAAGTTGTGACAACGTATCATTCAGGAGCCATCTGCGCCAAAGCTGCCTTGCTACTTTTCCCAGCTCACCTCTGGCTACCCTTTCCAGTTCATCCCAGTTTTGCTGTTCTGGCTGTTCCTCAAAAGTGTCAACAGTGGTCTGCATCTGGTTTTCCCATATACAGCTTGGTCTTTACCTCCTTCAGGCTGGGCTCAAACATCACCTGGTTAATGAGGCCTTCTGATTTGCAGAGACAAAATGCCTACCCACTCAAGCCCATTCGTTTCTCAGTCTTTTGCCCATCCTGATTTTTAATCAAGGTGCTATCACTTTCTGACACAGGCCACACTTGGGGTTCTTACAAAGATTTGGCAGGGTAGTGCTCCAGACTTCAGCATTTGAAAACAACGAGCTGACTGAATGAACCACTAGCTTGGGAGTAAAGAATTGATTTGATATCTGGATCTACCATTTCTAGCTATGTACCAGGAACCTAGGATAGGTAACTTAGCCATGTTTTAAGTGTTCTTGTCTATCCATTAGCGATTATCATCCTCATTCCATAAGAATACTGATTTAAAATGCATTTAATGTGGCTTAACTTGGTATAGAAGTGCTTGCTGTCATATATTATACAAAGACAGCCTAGGACTCGGCACAGTGGCCTAGTGGCTAAAGTCCTCGTGTTGCAAGTGCCAGATCCCATATGGGCGCCAGTTCTAATCCCAGGAGTTCCGTTTCCCATCCAGCTCCTTTCTTGTGGCCTGGAAAAGCAGTCGAGATGGCCCAAAGCCTTGGGATGCTGCACTTGCATAGGAGACCCAGAAGAAGTTCCTGGCTGCTGGCTGCTGGCTTCAGATTGGCGCAGCACCAGCCGTTGGGGTCACTTGGGGAGTGAATCATCGGACGGAAGATCTTCCTGTCTGTCTCTCCTCCTCTTTGTATATGTAACTTTGCAATAAAATAAATAAATAAGAAAGAAAGAAAGAAAGAAAGAAAGAAAGAAAGAAAGAAAGAAAGAAAGAAAGAAAAAAAGAAAAAACCTATGTGTAGACTCCATAAGTACTCTCTTATGAATAGATACTGACGTTAGGTTAGCCACTTCTTTTACATTAATTAGTTCAATCAGCTAGAAACCAGGTGCTGGCGTCAGAAGGATGGTTAAGGACAGTCTCTCTGATCAAATCTTGATCGTGTCTTTCACCAAACCCCAGTCTTCCCCCCTGTTAACTGGAACCGACATAATCCCTGGCACCTTAGCGTTGCTGTGTGGGTTATGAGTTACCACAAGGCAACAAAGTTAAGCACAAAGCAAGTGTAGATGTTGCAGGGATGACAAGTCAGGATGAGGAGGAGGGGCAAACCCAACTCAGCAGAGGGCCTCAGCACCACATTATCAGGCATCCCTTGCAGTAGGTCTCCTCCACTGGGGTCGGGCCGCAACCACGAAGGCCATTCTAAACCTCGGATCACCTCTACAAAACACGAAGTCCCTTCCCTCCCTTCCCCTCCACCCTCACCCCGACGTGGCTGGGCCAGGGAAACACTTCTACTGTTTGGATCGTTGGATTGGAAGGTTTACAAACAAAAATATAAAAAGTAGAATTTCCGTAGGAAATTGGAGTTTCATGAGGCTCGACTTCGGAACTGAGCAGGAACAGCTGGTCCCTAGACTGGGTGGGCGCCCAGCAGGTGAGAAAGCGGACCAAAGCGCGGGGAAAAGGGCGCGTTAGGGGGCTGGAGATAACTAAAACTCAGCTTTTCGGGGGGCCGGCCAAGGTGAGCGAGGATGCCCCCTTCCCCACCTCAGATCACGGTATTTCAGCCTCCACGGCCCCATCAGCCCTGCCTCTAAGGGATCTCGGCCACGGAGATCCCGCCTGCTCCCACCACTCTTCCCTTACCTCGTCTTCAGCATTTCCCTCACGCTCCCGCCTCCTCTGCCCGCCGGAAATGACGCACTAAGTTGTGCGCCGCCCCGCGCCAGAAAGGTTCTGCAGAGCGGGAGAAAGGGTTTCAGTGAGACTCACTGCGCCGGCGTCCCGGCAGCAGCGGTTCAAGCGTCTTCCGGGGGGAGCCGAGGAACTACGCTCCGTCTTGGGCCCTGTGTCTTTTCAAGTTCGCTGGGCGAGGTTCAGAGAGGCCGCCGTCTCTTGAGGAACGTTTCTCTGCGTCTCGGAAGCCGGTCGGGGCTCCGCTTCTCCAGGCCTTGCCCTCTGACCCGGCTCGCGCGGCGGGGTGAGAGGTCGGGTAGCCATCTTGTGGCGGCGGCACGGGCGGCTGTTACTGCGGAGACCCCTCCCTTCCCCCTCGGGGCCTTGCTGGCCGCGGTGTCAGTTGGTCCAGAGGCCGGCCGTCTGTCAGCCGAGGTCTCCGGGCCGCGTGCGGTCGCCCTTCCCGCCGCACTGGGGGCGCGGCCCAGGCCGCTCTCTGCCGCCACCACCATGTCCTCCTTCTCCGAGTCGGCCCTGGAGAAGAAGCTGTCGGAGCTGAGCAACTCTCAGCAGAGCGTGCAGACCTTGTCGCTGTGGCTCATCCACCACCGCAAGCACGCGGGGCCCATCGTCTCCGTGTGGCACCGCGAGCTCCGCAAAGGTAAACCTGCTGCCCCTTTTACCTCTCCCTCCTGCCCCCCCGCACACCCTGGTTTGTCCGTCTCCTTCCATCCACTCTTCCTCTGCAGGCTTGGACCCCTCTGATGGCCCCTCTGAGTTTAGGGACCGTCTTATCTCTGTGTTCCTCGAAGGTTGCAGCAGGGCCCAGCAGGGTGGAAGGCACTTGGCGTGGAGCAGAGCTTAGGTGCAGAAGAAGATGGGTCGTTTCCTGCTGGCACACTAGGGAAGCACACAGGAGAAGGGGTGGGAGGACTAGACCTCAGCCTGTGAGCCGCCATGCCCTGCCTGTGCTGGGGGGTGGAGATGGGGTGATGGGGAGGACGGGGAAGGCATTGGGAGTAGGAGCCAGGTAGCTCAAAAGTCAGATCTTGCTAGCCGCCCAACCAGGGCCAGTTTGCTACTTCCCCTTGCCTCTTGAATTCTCATCGCTTAAGACCAGAAAAGCTGGCACTTGACACAGCTGTTCCTGCAGGCTGCTGGCTTTGTCCATATCCTCGTGCTCAGTGCTCCTGGCAGCCTGGAAACTGGGTGATTGGTCCCTCCTGGAGGAGTTGGGGACCTTTACCTCCCAGGCTGTGCAGCTGCCAGGAACTTGGGGCACCTGACCTGCCACTGGCCAGGCCTTGGGATGGACGTGCTGCCTCCCACCTGTCTCCAGCGACTGACATTTGCTGAGTCTCCCCGCGGCTTCACCTGCCAGCTCCTCACTTTCCCTGCCTGGAAAGCAGAGGTGATGATAAGCTGTTCCCTGTGGCCAGGGTGGTGCTGATAGCTTGACATCTCGTGGCCTTCCCAGAGCCTGGGAAGCCGGAGCTTTGCCAATGAGGAGAGCAGAGTGGAGTCAGGTGGGACTCACGGACCTGCGGAGCACGCCGGCAGGTGCACAGTGCTCATATGTGCATCTGCTCCAAGGTGATGGAGGCACGGTCCCTGCCTACAAGTTGCTTCCAACCTCCTGGGTAAAGAACAGACTCCCAGGCCACTGTCCCATGTCCTGGTGAGTTCTAGAGCAGACGGCTGAAGAAACAGCTCCCAGCTGCTCTGGGCTCCTGTGTGCAGTAGTGCTTAGTGGCACAACAAGAGACTTTGTAGGTGTTCTCTCCTGCCAAGAGTTGGGAGTTGTCACCCGATTTTCTGGGGGAGGCAGCTGAAGCTGCGGCTCTCTCGGTGGGCTGGGTGCTGTGGGAAGACCTCCAGGGTGGGTGCTGTGGTGAACCTGGGGTTGCCTCCATACTGGGGGCAGTAGCTGAGGTGAGCCTCTTCATGCACCCCACACTGCTGTTTGAATAGTCTGTGTAACATTCGTTGAGATAGGGAAAAAGTGTGAATCCATACAGGTGTCCTGCTGGCTAGGGTCACCTTAATGTCCCTCTTGGGAAGGCTCCTAGTCTCCTTACCTTCCTTACCTGTTGGACTGACTTATAGCAATGACAGTGTAGAGAGCATGGACTGAGGGAGTTAGGAAGCTTCTGGATCTCATCCATGCCCGAGCATGTTTTGTAAATAAGCTGACATTTTACAGCTAAGAAGATACAGATACAGAGGCATCAAGTGCCTTGTTCATAGGTATACAGCTGGCACTTGAGCTCAGGGCTGTCTGATGCCAAAACTCAGTGACTTGGTGCGCTGACAGAGGCAGTTGTCTGATGCCAAGGAGCCCACTCTAGTTCCTTTTAGTAGGCCCAGCCATCTCCTCTCCTCTATTCCCGCAGCTTAGCATACATCTTGGCGTTACTGGCTGTGTCTTTTTCATCATTATGTTTGAGGGCAAAAACTAGACTTAATTCTCTGTGACATTCTGATATTTAGCAGGGTGTCTACCGGTTGCAGGCCTAAAGAATAGCTCAGGAGTTCAGGTATGATGCCATTTTGGCTTCAGCCTGGCCCAACCCTGGCTGTTGCAACCATTCTCTCTCTCTGCTCCTCCCTCCCCCCGTCTCTCCCTCTGTCACTCTGCCATTCAAATAAACCAATAAATCTTTTTTTGCAAGTGTGACTAAGGAACTAAGTTCTAAGTAAATACAGCTGAAAGCTCAGTTGCCAAGCTTTGGTAGCCAAGTATCAAGTGTTGAGTAGCCACAGGTGGGTGTTGGTGTCACATATTAGGACCATGCAGGGAGAGCTGGAGGGTATCCCTGCTGCAGGCATCAGGATGGCTTCCCCACTGCCAACATGAATGAGCTGGTGATGCCTCCAGACCTAAGTGGGAAAGGATTTTCTTCCCTCCTAATCTTCTAGTTAAGTTCTAACCCCCACACCCCTGTGACTGAATGGGACTGTTTCGGTCTACTAGGTTCACTCACATTCTGAGTTAACCTCCAGAATATTTTATTTTACTTTATTGGAAAGGCAGATTTACAGAGAGAAGGAAAGACTAAGATCTTTCATCCGCTGGTTCACTCTCCAAGTGGCCTCGGTGGGAAGAGTTGAGCCATGCTGAAGCCAGGAGCCAGAAGCTGCTTCCAAATCTCCCACATGGGTGCAGGGTCCCAAGGCTTTGGGCTGTACTCCACTACCCTCACAGGCCACAAGCAGGGAGCTGGATGGGAAGAGAGTGCGTGAGAGAATGAATGCAAGTTAGTATGTGTGCATTCGCTTCCATCCATTGGTTTACTCCCCAAATGTCTGCAATAGCCAAAGCTGGGGCTTGCCAAAGCCCAGAGCCAGGAGCTCAGTCTTAGTCTCCCATGTGAGTGGCAGGGACTGAAAGTTTTGATTTTTTAAAGATATATTTCTTTGGAAGACAGAATTCTACTAGAGTCCAGTTCTCTCTTCTTTCATCTGCTCGCTCACTCCCCAGATGGCCACAGTGGCTGAGTCTGGGCTAGGTCAAAACTTTTGAAAAATCTTCCACTATTTTCCCAGGAACATTAGCATAGCAGCTAGGGCTGAACCTGCTGCCAGAGAGGATGCTGACTTGCCACAACAGCAGCCATGGGACTCAAGCTTTTGAGCCACCATGTGCTGTGCCCCCATTCCCACTCACCTCCAGCACATGTGTTAGTAGGGAGCTGGATTGGAAGCAGAGGTAGACCAGATGCGTAGGCACTCTGGTAGAGAATGTGCCAATCCCAGATTGTGGCTTATTGTGCACTGCCATGAGCTTGCTTTGAAGTATTTTTTATTTATTTGAGAGACAGAAGTAGAGACAGAGGTTCCAGTGGTTCGCTCCCCAGATGTCCTCAGCAGCTCGGGCTATGTGGGGCAGAGCCAGGAATTGGGAACAGCAATCTAGGACTCGCGCATGATGGCAGCAACCTCATTACTGAAACTGTGGCCGCTGCCTGCAGGAATCTGCTAACAGGAATCTGGAGTCAACAGCCGGAGCCAGGAGTTGAACCTAGGCACTCCGAGATGGAACTCGGGCATCTCAACTGCCAGCTTACAATTCTTTGCGTATTCCTTTAGGGTGTGTGTTGGGGGGATGCCTCCCCTTTGTGGAGTAGCTTGCTGTGCAATGCCTTCGCATGAGTGCTTTTTGTTTGAGTTTTATATCTTGACATGAACCTAAGTAAAATAGACCTTTTTCACCCCCAAATTTCTTTAAAGTGTTCTACAAACATCAAAGCCAGTTAATGAAATGAAAAATTTTGATTAACCAGTTCTGCCTACTTTGCTTAAACAACTACTAGTTCAGCCAGTTTGGAGCAGACGTAGATATAGGATAAAAGGATCAGTTTTGTCGTAATGGAAAGACAGCTGAGCCAGGGAGTTGCAGCTTAAATGTGTTGTTGACTGTGTGACCAGGTATTCTAGTTTGTCGTATTGCTTTACACACGCAGTGCTTGTGTTAACTCTTCAGGGTGCTGGTTGGGGAAGGGCAACAGCTTTATCCTAAATAAATCTTGTTGAATTCAAGCATGTTTCAAATTAGTTGGCATTGTAGATAGTAAAAATCTGACTCTCAAGATTCTGAGGTGTCTATTTTTTGTTTCTTTAAGATTTATTTATTTTTATTGGAAAGGCAGATATATAGAGAAAAGGAGAGACAAAAAGATCTTCCATCGCTGGTTCACTTCCCAAGTGGCTGCAAACAGCTGGAACTGAGCCAATCCCAAGCCAGGAACCAAGAGCTTTCTCTGAGTCTTTCAAGTCTTTGGTGCAGGGCTCCAAGATGTTGGATTGTCCTCCACTGCTTTCGCAGGTGCATTAGCATGGAACTGGATAAAAAGTGGAGCAGCTGGAACACAAACCAGTGCTCATATGGCATGAGATGCTGGGAGGTGAAAGATTAACCAGTTGAACCAGGTGAACTTCTGACACCTGCCTGCCAGAGATGCCTTATTACTAAGAGTAAAAAAGTATCTGCTTATTTGAAAAAGTATCTTTCAACAGTGACAGTGTATCAGATCTTATAAGTCCAAGTGGGAGTTTGCCAACGCGGACAGAAACTGTGTGGTATTTGGAGAACTTCACTTAGTCACGTGGATGTTTTCAATCCACCAACTTTGATGGCATCGTAGAATTGACAGTTTTCCTTCCTGGAGCTTCCCAGAAAAAGGCTTGCATTAGGGAAATAACTTCTCCTGGTCATACTTGCTTACAGTGGCAGGATCCTGTAACTGTTGAGATTTTGGTTCTGCTTTTGAATAGTAATTGTAGTGGTTAAAGGTTGCTAGTAGTCTTACCAGTTGGCCATCTAAACCAGGTTCTTACCAGGGGGTTCATACACTTCAGGATACCATGTTGAATTTTATGAGCTTTAAACTATAATATGATTTAAGGATATTGTTTTTTACTTGGGTTTTTTTTTTTTTTTTAGATTTATTTTATTTTCATTACAAAGTCAGATATACAGAGAGGAGGAGAGACAGAGAAGAAGATCTTCCGTCCGATGATTCACTCCCCAAGTTAGTGCAACTGCTGGTGCTGTGCCGATCTGAAGCCAGGAACCAAGAGCCTCTTCTGGGTCTCCCACACGGGGGCAGGGTCCCAAAGCTTTGGGCCATCCTCGACTGCTTTCCCAGGCCACAAGCAAGGAGCTGGATGGGAAGTGGAGCTGAGGATTAGAACCGGTGCCCATATGGGATCCCGGCACGTTCAAGGCGAGGACTTTAGCAGCTAGGCCACGCTACTGGGCCCATTTGGGTTATTCTTGTGCAGCAACATTTTAAAATGTCAGATTTTGTATCTGCTCTGTCTGAATTTACGTACTCCGTAAACATTTCCAAAGAGACGGAGGTGAGCTTCTGACAGGTATAAGGGCATGGACAGCTTCAGGGAGTCTTTCGGGTATGTTAGCATTAGTGAAACTTCAATGTTTTGAAATGTCTAATTATGTCCTTATTTATTTCTTTTTGAAGAAAATTGTGACCAAAAATGGCAGTGATGTAATTTTATGGTTGAGAAGTAATATGTGGATAAGCTGGGAAATTCAGTAATGTTCCCCCAAGCAATTGTAACTCAGGCATATTGCATGCGGTTTTTATGGCTTAAAATATGATACTGTATAGAGTAATAGAATATACAACATTGTATATGTACGAGAGAAAAATTACAGTTTTTGAGGGAGCTGTAATTTTACATATACATATTTCAGCTGTTTAAATTTTTCAGTAACAAGGCAATATTAATATATACTTGTGTTTGAGATAAATAGCTGTGAATACCTCTATTCCTGAATTGCAGGCTTGATGTCGTAGACGGTATTTACTGCAAAGAGAAAGTCTCAGATTAGGATACAGTAATTTATTTCCAAGTTGGAACCTCGCTTAGTCTTCAGGCAGTTCAGAATGCATTGGAAATCTGTAGTAGAATAAATGAAAAACTTGGTTTTATATTAAGAAAGAAATAAAAATGGCATTTTCCCTCCTTTTCTTTTCCCAAATTGTATTCCAGACCTGTTAGAACAGAGATCTAAAGTTTTTTGTTTTTTAAACATATCTACTTGACCTCATGCAGATTGGGAAAAACCTAGAGCAGAAGAATTGTGAATTGAGAATTTATTTGATGTAAATTAAATTCTCTTTTCTCTCTTTTTTTTTTTTTTCAGCCAAATCAAATAGAAAACTTACTTTTCTGTATTTAGCAAATGATGTCATACAGAACAGTAAAAGAAAAGGACCTGAATTCACTAGAGAATTTGAATCTGTCCTTGTGGATGCTTTTTCTCATGTTGCCAGGTATGTTGTCTGTTTTGTTTTCAAATGCATTACTCTGTTTACCTCTTTATATTTTGTTTTTCTGTGATAGCTTTTATAAATTGATAATGCCTTATTTACAGATGTGTTGTGGAGGTATAATTTTGATTTTGTGTTTTGTTTGGGCCCTTAAGAAATCTCAAAACTGTAACCATTTCGGTGCATTAAAGAAATTCACCATTGAAGGTTTATTTTTATTGGAAAGTTAGACATACAAAGATCTTCCATCTGTTGATTAATTCCCCAAGCAGCCGCAACGGCCTCACCATAATATTTTAAGCACATCTTTTCCCTCAAATGAATTAATTTATTGAATTCATTTCTTGAGTGTAATATTTACCTCAGTTTAGCGGAGTTGTCTCATTAGCATATAATAATAATAATAAAAATGAAAGCTAAATAGTCTGAGGGCAGTAAAATAGTAAACTTTAGTAGCAAGGGATTAATTGTTTACACTGTATTCACTTCTTCCTAGATGTCTAGTTTACTGAGAATACAATCATTAGTGTAACTGCAGAAATAGTAACTTAGTGTGGAGAGAAAGTGTTCGCACCAATTATGCTAAGTCTCTCCTGTTATTTTTTGTGGCAGAAAAGGCTGGAGCATAGATCACACATAGCTAATATGCATCATCCAAGCATATGTCAGATGAAAGGTTTTATAATTTTATACATCTAAAACAAACAAAAAAACTCTCTGGGCACAGCTTAGATGTCCTGGGGGAGCAAAAATAAGCTATTTTTCAGTAGACTGTGACGTTTATCATTGTTAAAAAAATAATCATATTTACAGAAGAAAATTGAGGATGATAAAAAGAGGGCTAGGAGGTTAAACAAGTGTCCTAGGGTCTAAAATATCAGTGAAAGGCCTTAAATGTTACAATATGCCTCACTCCTTGAAAGATTTGAAACACTTAAAGGAGTAAAATGAGCAACTCAAAAGAAGGGAGTGGCATCTAGCTTTCTAGATGAGGAAAGATGTTTGTCTACAACATGACTCGGTTGTTCTTTGGGTAAATACAGACACAGTGTCAAAGTGTTGTTAGCTTCAAAAACTACTGGATTCTAATAGAGTAAGCTTAGAACAGAGTGCTAGAATTATGATATGAAGCTAGGGGTAGAGGTTTCTTTTTTTCTTATTGATAAGGTTTATTTCATTGTTTCTTAAGTGTGAGTGAGAAAGCTCCCATGTGCAAATTCACTCCCAGTGCTCATAGGCCAGGTGGGAGCTGGGAGTCAGGAATTGTCTGGGTTCCCCCTGGATGTGGCATGAAGGCATGAACCCACTTATCTGCGTGTCCTGCTGCTTCCCAGGCTCTGCATGAGCAGGAAGCTGCTCAGAAGCCAGACCTTGCAGTTCAATCCAGGAACTCTGATGGGACGCAGGCATCTTAAGCACCAGTTCTTTTTTTTTTTTTTTTTTTTAACAGATTTATTTATTTTTATTAGAAAGTCAGATATATAGAGAGGAGGAGAGACAGAGAGGAAGATCTTCTGTCCAATGATTCACTTCCCAAGTGAGTGCAACAGCCGGGAACCAGGAACCTCCTCCGGGTCTCCCACGTGGGTGCAGGGTCCTAAAGCTTTGGGCTGTCCTCGACTGCTTTCTCAGGCCACAAGCAAGAAGCTGGATGGGAAGTGGAGCTGCCGGGACTAGAACCGGCGCCCATATGGGATCCTGGCGTGTTCAAGGTGAGGACTTTAGCTGCTCGGCCACGCCGCTGGGCCCTAAGCACCAGTTTTATTGCTCATTGAGATGTATTAACTTTTGGGTGAAAGTTTCCAAGTTGCTTAAAAGGGAATGTCACCATATATCTCAGTTGTGAAGCTAATGTGTGGCATTGTGTTGGAAAGCATCTGGTTCACTTCCTGGTCTACCTTCTTGGCTTCTTTAGTGTGTACTTAATGATAAGCTCAATGAGGGGAGGACCGTTTCTGTTTGGATGTTTGCTATCCCAGACTCCTAGTAGTGTGTGGCACGGTGCTGCTGGGCTGTCTAACTTTAGGAAACACTTTATATAGCCTTGATCTAAGTCGTCCCAAGGAACCAGGTAAGATCACTTTCTGCCCAGACGTGGTAAATACTGGTTTAGTAAGTTTGTCAATGTGAATTCATTGGGAAAAAGATTTAGTCTGGGGACTTTACTAAAGTAATTTCCTATAGGGATAGTAAACATAACACTGATTTAAAATTTGATCCATAATCTGTACCTGTTCTTAAACTAGGAAAGGGTAAATAGAGATACAGGAGAGGAAGATGGTCAATACCAGGATTAAAAATTCCCTGTTTGGGAACATTTTAACACAATGCACTGTGAAAGCATCCTGACAGATTTCAACATGGTGTAGGAAGAAGCAGCTTGGCTGTTGTTGATGGAAAATGCACCTAATCCTTTTCTGTGCGCATTGTCCTAGTCTCCTTTTTAGAGTGCCATTGGGTTATTCTGGATTCCATGTTCCTCAGTCTCCTTTTCCCAACCCCATTATTGGGGCAGATACTTCAGTTGTGGTGTACCTTATCAAGTTAAGAGTGGCCTAAAGCATGCTCTGTGAGTGTGTTTTCTGTGGCCAATTGATGAACAAGGATAGTTGATCCATGAATAATGAGCAAATTGATTAGGAATGTCCTGGATTGAGCCGATCTGAAGCCAGGAGCCAGGAACTTCTTCCTCATTTCCCACCTGTGTGCAGGGTCCCAAGGCTTTGGGCCATCCTTGACTGCTTTCCCAGGCCACAAGCAGGGAGCTGGAGGGAAGTAGAGCAGCCAGGACACGAACCAGTGTCCATATGGTATCCTGGCTTGTGCAAGGTGAGGACTTCAGTCACTAAGCTACTGTGCTGGCCTGCAGACTGTGTTTTCTGCACAAGTGCTGCCTTGTCCTTTCAGTTTGTGGCAGTGCTTGTCCTTCATTTTTCATATATGTGAGTGCCCTCTGTATTTATTGAGTACTGATTCAGACACTGGGGGAGCAGCTTTGAATAAGGCAGACAAGAGCCGGTCACTGAACAAGATGGTTTGTTCCAGAGAGTGGTGGCATGCACGTAACAAAACAGGGTGATGTTGAGTGGGTCAGCCAGTGTGGCTCAGGGGACCTCTAGGAAAATGGTATCTGAGGTAATCTTATGGAGTTGGGATAGCTGTGCAGAAAAACTGCGATAGACTAGTCTTGGCCTTGTAAGAGAAATGGAAAACCATTGTTACTGATTGAACGTGTGAATAAAGAGAAAAGTAGACTGGCACCAGTTGTGCATGTCCTGTCAGCCTTGGGGAGAGTTGGGCTTTTATTCTGACGGCTGACGTTGAAAGCTTTGCAGTGAGGGAATAGCATGTTCCAACGTACATTTTAAAAAGATCGCTTGGGGTAGGCATTTGACAGTGGTTAAGATGCTGCTTGGGATAACTGCATCTCTTATCACAGTGTGTTTTTAAAGACTTATTTTCATTTAATTTTGAGAGGAGGAGAGACAGAGAAGATCATCTTGCATCCATTGATTCACTTCCCAAGTGGCCGCAACGGCCAGAGCTGAGTCAATCCAAAGCCAGCAGCCAGGAGCTGCTTCCAGGTCTCCCACACAGGTGCAGGGTCCCAAGGCTTTGGGCCCTCCTTGACTGCTTTCCCAGGCCACAAACAGGGAGCTGGATGGGAAGCAGGGCTGCCAGAATCAGAACTGGCGCCCATATGGGATCCCGGCATGTACAAGGTGAGGACTTTAGCCGCTAGGCTACTGTGTTGGATCCACAATGTATGGATTTATGTCTGCATTCTTTTGTACTTCTAGCTTGTTAATTTGCACCCTGACAGACACCCGATGATGACTCGAGTACCATGATCCTTGCCACCCCATGGGAGACCCAGATTCAGGTTCTGGTTCCTGGCTTCAACTTTGTCCTACCCCCTACTGTTGTGGGCATTTGAGGAGTGAGCCAGAGGATAAATAGTTCTCTCTGTGTCTCTCAGACTTTTAAAGAAATAAAAATAGATAAATAATGTTTGCTTAGAAAGTAAAACAACAGGATCCACCTTTATAAATGCCTTGGGGTGGGGGATGGATTGTAGTGGAAATGGGGTTGTAGATTGTGGGTGGATTTCCTCTCTTTCCCCCACCCACATAAAGCTATTAAGATTTATAGGAGTTGAGTAGTAGCTGGTAATGAAGAAATAAAAGGTGACTTCTAGGTTATTGAGGTAAGTGGATGGCTCCTGATGCTATCTGGTGAGCTGAAGATAGGGGGAAAGATAGGTGCAGGAAGCCAGGAGTTCTGTTGGAGCTGTGTGTGAGATGGTAGGGGGTCTTCCCAGGGGTGATGTTATCAGGGATAAAATGCTTTGAAGCTTGGGAGAGAACGGACTTCTAGAGGCAAAAATGCAGGATATTTATTCTTTTTTTTTTTTGAAGATTTATTTATTGGAAAGTCACATATACAGAGAGGAGGAGAGACAGAGAGGAAGATCTTCTGTCCAATGATTCACTCCCCAAGTGAGCGCAACTGCCGATGCTATGCTGATCCAAAGCCAGGAGCCAGGAGCCTCTTCCGGGTTTCCCACGCGGGTGCAGGGTCCCAAAGCTTTGGGCCATCCTCGACTGCTTTCCCAGGCCACAAGCAGGGAACTGGATGGGAAGTGGAGCTGCCGGGACTAGAACCGGTGCCCATATGGGATCCCGGCACATTCAAGGCGAGGACTTTAGGTGCTAGGCCACGCTACCGGGCCCCAGGGTATTTATTCTTATATTATGAATGTACCAGGGTACTCCCAGGTTTGTTGGGTCCCTGAGAGAATTCACAGCTGTGATTTAGTACAAAGACTATAAAGTGATGACAGTCAGAAAAATAAGAGGTGCACGCAATGAAGACTGGAGGAGTCAGGGGAGCTTCCAAGACTTCTCGCAGTAGAGTTGCACAAGCCTAATTCCCCAGTGTTGGGTCACGACAACTGTGTGAGGTGTTATATCAGGGAATTCCACTGCACAGGACCCAGTGTTTTGGGGGTAGTTTATGTGGGCATTCCCTGCCAGAGTTCTAGGATCCCAGGAACAAAGTGAGTGTTCATTTTCAGCTTCACTCGCACACTTAAGTCACAGTAAACTACCTGATCCTTGGGAAATGCTAGGAACTCACTGACGGATTCCCGAGTTCTCCACTGTCAGCCAAGAGGCAGCTGTGCCAGCAAGCACTTGTAAGGGCTTTCTGCCAGTTCTTCTGCACCATCTTTACGTGAGCTACTATTAAAAGTGCTGGAAGCATGTGGAAAGAATTCCTGCCTGCTGTGGGTAAGATAAGATGGAAACCCACAAAATCAAGAGTGATTGTACCGAGGAAGTTCCACAGAACTGCAGAGGAAGAAAAGGCCTCCCAGGGTTGGTTTGGCAAGGTCCTGGGCATCCCACCAACACTGTAGCAGCAGTTCTGTTTTGGGGTATATAATACACGTTTTTCACTTTTTAAAGTTAGTGATGTTATCTGTATTAGAAGATAAGCAGTGATTGAATTTATGAATAATCAGAATTAAGATCCACATTAGATGTGTTTGATATGAAATTAGTCACATTGGTGATTGATAGCAAAAGGGGTTTTTTTTTCCCCACTTAAAGATATGTCATTTTATGGTAGGTTGCTGCAATCTGAAGACAGCCTCTTCTATTATGAAATGGCATTCTTGCTTTAGTTATCTCTGATTCCAGGTACTAAAGCAAGTGACTTTGAGTTTGCTGGAATTATTTACCTCTAAATATCAAAAATCAGTAAAAATGTTAAAGCAAAGTACTGACTTAAGTCTGGTCCAAAAGGAAATGACCTATCCTGGCTAATTCATTAATGAAGCAAAGATCCCATTTTAACTTCCTTGCTTATAGTGAAAACTTTTTAAATTGTTTTAATAAAATTGAGTATCAGTTTCCTCTAAATAGTATTGTGGGAGAAACTGCTAAAAATCAGCCTTGGTTTTGAGTCCCCAGGATAAGCAGAGAGTGGGTAGGCCTTGTGTCTCCCCACACCCCAGCATCTAAATTTTCTGTAAGAGTTGTTCTTATGATTGCTTTCCTTCCTTTTAAGTGAATAGAAAGGATCTACAGAGAACATGTTTTATGTTAAGGATATCAACCAATTAAGTTTTGATTAATTATGATTGGTTATATTAGTTATAATTCTCACCCCTCTAACCTGTGCATTTCATTTCATCAGACTTCCTTTTGCCTGTAGGCCAAATCTTAAAGTGGCTTTCAGGGTTCATTCATCCTTCCTTGTTCATCTCTTTTCACACAGAACCTGCATCCTGCAGCTACCTGAATTATAGCTTGCCCTCTCTCTTTGCCTTGTTCCATTTTTGGAGTTCCTTCAAAGGAGAAGAGATAACATGACCAAAGGCCCATGTACAAAAAAGGAAGTTTCTGAGTAGAAAGTACACATTTGTTACTAGAATATGAATCCCCACAGGGTTATGGACAGGAAGTGAGGCTACTCTAAGAGGTATGAGGAGCTGGTCGATCAAGCCCAAGAGGTCAGGGCCTAGGCCTTTTTCTTTGCATTCCAAACATTGTAAATGTTGGTTGATAGAGGTGGTAAGTGCTTAGTTGATTTCTTACGTGAATGTTTGAAAGTTCAGTAACTGCAGGCTGCTGAAATCTGTATGAATTCTTAAAAAGAATGACTAACAATTACTAAATCTACGTGATGACAGATTAACAACAAGGGAACCATATAGCATATTAGAGGATAAGATACATGGAGGAAGCTAAGGGTGGGCAGCAGGTGTAATTTCCAGTGTGGAGATATGGGGCCGATTTACTGAAGAGGCAGTGGGTGGCTAGACAACAACACCTGAAGAAACAGAGGGACTGACCTCCATGGCCATCTGGGGAAATGAGGCAAACTCTTCAAGGCTTCTCAGGGTCGCTGATGTAGCAGAACGGAAAGAGGGGCAGACAGGAGATGAGGCCAAAGAAATACTGGGTGTGTTGAAAAAGACTGAGCGTTTTATAAGGACTTTCACATAGATTCTGAAGAATAGGAAATAACAGAAAATTCTGCGCAAGATGATATGATCTGCCTTAACACAACAGCTAGATTTATATTTTTAAACTTGGAGACTAGGTGGGAAGCCAGTAAGGGAGACCAGTAAGAGTAATTTCGTTCTAGTGATTCAGACACACGATGGTAGTGACTTGCACCAGGAGGATAGCAGAAAAGTTGATGAGTTGCAAGTCGTTCCTGATTCGTTAGTGCTTTGATCCTGGTTAAGTAAAATTTATCAACTACTGAGTACTAAGAAAACCAGACCAGGATGAACCCCATTTCTGTGGAGTATCAGCACAAGCTTTGGAGAAGGGCTGCTGTGGTCAGGGTAGAAAGAAATCCATCCAAGTTGAGCTTGGTGTGCTGTCTTCCTCAAGTTCTGAATAACATTTGATGTAAAATAGCAAGTTGGCAAGGTATATATCTTTTTGATTACGGTCAGTAGAGAAAGTTGTTGCGAGCGAGCCAGCCAGCCAGCTTTACAAACACAACGATCTACAGTAACTGAGTGGGTGGTGAATGTCAAGGAAGGAATTATTGAGCTTTTTCCTTGCAAGTGTAAATCACAGAGGTTGCATTATTCTCCATATGGTCTGAGGTTACTAGTTAGACACCTTTGTGTGGCTATGGATAAAGATTTAGCCCAGAATTAACAGGAGTAAAGTTGAATTGTGAAGTTGAACTCAGTCTTGGCATTCATGTGTATTTGATTATATGTGTGTATGTAGAGACGTTGATGTGTCAGCACTGATGAGTTGTGAATATTTTCTATTTTAAAAATGTGTGGCTTTTAAAATCTTTTTGAAAAAATTTATTCTTAAATATTTGGCTTAATTTCCACTGGAATGTCAAGCATTACATTTCAATTAATGGCACCTTAAAGAGTAAGTTTATCACAATTGATGGGATGAGTTTTTGGTAATTCTGTCTCAGACCTCGCCATTGGCTTTTTGTCCCATTTTCCCCATCTTCGAAAGGGAAAAAAGATTACTTCTATAATGTGATCCCTCTCATCCCCACCCGTGTAGTTTCCGTTCAAGTTCTGAGTGTTCAGGTTAACTCAGCATGCACCTTGCTCTTGCTCTTCTGTTTTAACTATGTCAATTATTTAGTCAGTTGTGTGTGTGTATGTGTGTTTTTTAAGTAGATCTGTCCTAATTAAAAACAAAAACTCTTAAGCTTATATATATCTTTTCGTCTTTTCTGGGCAGAGAGGCAGATGAAGGCTGTAAAAAACCTTTAGAAAGATTGCTGAACATCTGGCAAGAAAGAAGTGTGTATGGCGGCGAGTTCATACAGCAGCTGAAGCTGTCTATGGAGGACTCCAAGAGCCCTCCTCCGAAAGGTAGACATCACCACATGTTTACAGCTCTTGGTCTTTGCCTACTTTCGAATCACATGTGAAAAGCTGCAGTGGGGGTTGCTGCGAGCCACCAGCGCTTGTATGATTCTTCAGAGAGATGCTCGTGAATGATGGTGAGAATTGCCATGGCGCTCGCAGTGGGTGAGCCTGGTTCCCGTCCTCGTGCTCCTCATCTTCACACCCTCGCGTGGGCTCTGCGCTTTCCTCACCTTCCCTCCGTCCTCCAAAGACTCTGCTTGCACGTGGGTAGGAGTAGCAAAATTGGTTAGAGTTGAGGTTTATCCTAATTATAATTTTACAGGATTTTGTCCCAGTCCTTTTGTTACCTAGTGCAAGAACTTAGATAAGTCCCTTAAGCCTTTTAGAATTTGATTTCATTGATTATAAGCATGGGATATATTTTTATGATGGGCAGCTTGCTATTCAAAATTGCTTTTGATCTTTACTGAACCCAAGATATCCTTGGGAGGTTTTAATATACCCATGTGTGTGAATTTTTACTAACTTCTTCATAAAACTTGTGTTACTTTTTTTTTTTCTTTAAAGAATTAAGATTAAATATTAAATGGTTATTTGGTATTTGGCTTGTTGCAGTTTTGTTCTAGTTGACAGAACATATTTCTAAGCCCAATCTGCTCTGACTGTGTATACCCTCATTACCTGAATGATGAACTGCAAGTATGTGCTTGAAGATACTTTATCACCTGGTCTACCTCTGTTTTTCTTCCCCTGCCATTCCTTCATGTCATCTGTATTCTTTTGCCATCCTCTGGGTGCTCTGTTGGCACCCCTTGCCTTGTATCTGCTCTTGTAGCCACCTGAGATCTCCTTCTGTCCCTTCAAACTGTGTAATGAACTCATGCTCGAAGAATACTGCTCTAATACTCACGTCTCTGCTTACCTGTCGGGATATGTCTGGACACTCTCTCCCTTTTCTCTAATACTAGGTACAAGCCTTTGCTTTGACCTGAGCCGTGAATAATGTATGTTGTAATGCCATTCAACGACCCTTTACTGTATACCTTTTCCAGAGTTACCGTATAACTTTTCTAAAGTTAAATGCATTTTATAAAAATTCACTTTCTAAAAAGTTTACTTTAAAAGCAGAATTATAGAGCAAGTGCTTTCATCTGCTGGTTCTCTTCCCAAAAGGGTGTAAGAGCTGGGCCTGGGGCTAGACCAAAGCCGAGGGCTTGGAATTGCATCCAGGTTTCCCGTGTGGGTGGCGCTTGGGCCATTGCTCCACCAGGTATATTAGCAGGGAGGTAGAGCAACCAGTGTCACAAGCAGTGGCTTAATTTGCTGTCTCATAATGCCAGTCTCAGACTACATGCGTTTTATGATAGGGTAACTTTTCTGGGACCCAGAGGTCCGAGGTGTTCTAAAAATGACACAAGTGCTTTTAGATTGCAAGTCTTTATTTTAGTTGGAGTTACTAGAAAATAATTTAGGGTCATTTGAGTAGTAATTTTGGAAAAGCAAGCTGTTTCGTATTTTATGTCTGGTTATATCCTTTGGAGGTATTCTGTACAGCTTTAGAGAATTAACTTTGTCCCCACCCTTTTTTAAAAAAATTTTTTTTATTTGGAAGTTGAGGTTAGAGAGAGGGGAGAGACTTATTTCCCATCAGCTGGTTCAACCATCAGCACTGGGTTAGACCAACACTTGGAACCAAGAGCTTCAGGTGAATTCCCCACATGGGGTCTTCCTTTGCTTTTCCCTAGCCATTAGCAGGGAGCTGGATCGTAGGTGGGGCAGCTGGAAGACAAACCAGGGCCCATATGAGATGCCAGGGTTAGAGAAGATGGCTTTACTCACCATGCTAATGCCAGCCCCCAGCATTCTTTACTTGACCCTAGTTCTGTTGATAGACAGCAGGGATTTATTTATTTGTTTGAAAGACAGAGTTCTAGAAAAAGGGAAAGACAGAGAGCAAGGGCTTCTTTCTGTTGGCTTACTTCCCAAATGGCCACAACAAACCCAGGAGCGTCCTCTGGGACTTTTAAGCACTTGGGCTGTTCTCTTCTGTTTTCCCAGGTGCATTAGCAGGGAGCTGGATACAAAGTGGAACAGCCAGGACTCGAACCTGGCTGATGTTACAGATGGTAGCTTAATCTATTGTACCACAACACTGACCCCCACAGTATTGAGTTTTAAAAACCCCTTTAGTGAAGTAGGAGAATGTTAAAAATGGATTCTTGAAACCACCACTGGATTTCAGTTTGGTCATTTGCTGGCCATGCTTTAAGTCAGCAGCTGTGCCAGATGCTATAGAAAGGTCAGGAGAGGAAGAAGCAGTCATTCCACACTTGGGTAGCAGATTGGGGAACTGGTGGCAATGGCAGTATTGAGAGAGCCCTGTTGGGTTTCAGAGGTTTTGAGATATAGACAGTAACAGAGGCAATGCTCCTCTATTTGGAGGATGATGCTGACTTAGAGACAATTACTCTGTCAACTATAAAGGTGACATTGCACACGAAAGGTTCCTTGCGTGTTTTAGTCTTAGCAGACTGCCTGACTCCATGTACAGTTCTTTGTCTTCAGTCAACTTTACAATTTACCTTTAAAATAGAAATTTCTCGTGGAACTTTGAGGGTTCTTACACCTTTGGAGAATGCGTAAGCTTAGAAATCTTTTCACACCTGGAGATTTCTTCAGTTGTCTTCCCCAGCTGCAAGAGCCAGCAGTGTTCCAAAGTTTCCTGTCTGTCCTTGGGAACACTCAAGGTGTTGCTTGATGGAATGGGACTTTATTATTTACTTGACTCACATTGAATCAGTTCAGTTGCGGAATGATTTGGAAAAGGTCGATGCAATGAAACTAAATAGAATGGTGCTAGCATTTATTGAACACCTGTCCTAACAACAACATTATTGGCTGCTTTTGCTGACAATTATTCCACGAGTTTGATACTGTTTTCATAGTGCAAATTAGAAATAAGAAAATTATAGACAGGAGCCAGGGCTGTATGAGGTTCCTGTAGGTTCAGGTACTGCTGCTGCCTGGCACATTTTGGAGCATCACTGGTCAGAGTGGGTTCAGCTAAATGGTATAGTAATGCTGCCTAAGGCGAAATATTGGTAAGTAAAGAACTCGGACTCATCTGTATGGCATTAAACCAGTGTTCTCATTCATAATTTCTTCTGAAAACACATGGCTTCCATAGACAGATGATGGAGTGAATTTATGAGCAGGCTACCCAGTTTTCCCTGACCTTCATGTCATGCGATTACTCCATCTTTTCAGAGTTTGATATCTTCTGTCACTTCTAAAGCTGGGTGATCTTAGACATGTATCTGACCTCTCTGAACTTTAGATCCTCTCCGTACAGTATGCTGTCAATTAGATAGAATACCTTGTAGAGTTGCAAGGATTTCTTGAGATAATGCAGAAAATGTTATCAGTGAGCCAACATAAGATTTTTATTTGCCCTCTTAGTGTGAATATCAAATATTCTTAGTTTCTGTAAGTGAACTTGGACTTTATGCAAGGCTGGAGGTCATAGTTGAGAACATGACGCTCTAGGCCCACCTCGCTGGTTGGGGAGATCGAGGGACAGGTGGAAGATAGATAGAAGGTGCACCATCTGAGGACAGTAGAATGTTGACCACCAGTAGTGTCGACCCTGTCTCTAAGAGGGAGAATGATTGCAAGAGTCAGGTGAGAGTAAAGAAGCACCATGGCTAGAAGCTGAGCTTGTCTGAATTAGAGGTAGAAACTAGCATATTTCCTAGCTTTTTTTCAATGGCTGTATGACTGCTATTTGTCATAATTGTTGGGCTTGGAGCAGTGGTGATCCTTGTTGGCCTAGCTGCCTTTCAGAACTGTTACTGTGATGCCTTTGGGAGGTTGTATACTCCAGCCTGTCCCCTCTTCCCTTGTCTTCTCATCCCCTCTTTCTAGATACTATGGGGATATGGAGGAACAAGCCACTTAATGCTTTCAGCAGAGAGGCAAGCTTGATGATGGCCTCACCAAAGTAGCAAGACTGAGCACTTTGGAGGACAGCCTAGCTTGTGGGGATTGGGGTGCTCTGGATGGCACTTCTGGTGCTCCCAGCTGGCTTCCAGCTGAGAAAAGAGAATCATTAGAGGCCGCCCCAGATTTTAGAAGAGAGATGGATGGAATAAAAACTCAACTGTAGCAAGATTATTTTAACAATATATTCCAAGTTGGAAAGGGGACAGCCAAGGGCAGGGAGACGAGTTGGGGCAGTGGTCTTGACCTGCATCGTAAATGGCAGATTGCTGCCGTGTGTGAGAAGGGGACAGATCATGGTGGTCTCCAAAGCTTTGTACTTGGAAGATCGTGCCAGTAGAAAATTTCAACAGGGAAGTAGGGAGTGTGGGCAAGAGGAATATTATGAGAAATATTAATTCATTTTTAGAGGTCTTCAGTTTGCAGGAATAAAATGGAGACATGGGATGGTGATGGCTAACCACACCCACTGCAGCCCTTGAAACAAGGTGGTAAAGGACAGAAAAGGTCAAGTCTTTTTTTTATCAGTTTGGTTTGAATCTTGAAAGGCTCTGAGTGGCAGAAAGCAGTACCAAGGACTCCCACTAGGAAGCAGAACACATTGGCTTGTTAGACCTAGGCTAAGCTCCCTGGCTGTGGGCTTGATGCTCTCCTGAAGGTGTGTTAGGAAAAGCAAAGACGGGTCCAGCTAAGGCCATTGCAGAGCCAAAACTGAGTGCTCGAGTGTCCCAAAATGAGTGAGTTTTGTTCCTGCATGTGACTATTTCTTTGTGATAGTTATTTTTTCTGCCTTCTTCAGTGTATTTAGTAATTACTGATTGAGCACTTCTTTAGGTTCTTGAAAGTAAAGTTATGTAAATTTTATTTTTGATCCTCTGTTCAGATTTTAAGCTACTTTTTTATCATTTTAATGCTTTGAGGGATACATGCCTTTGTGGGTCAGATCACACACTGCATTAATGAGGTAGTTGCTGTGTGTGAAATACCATTAGGTGGTTCGTGTTAAATTATATACTAATAGATTTTCCATTTGAAAATAGGATTATTTACATTGTAGTACAGGGCTGTAAAAATGTCCATACAAGCTGAAAGTCTGCAACGTGATCTAATCATCAGCAAAGGAAAATGGTGTAGTGACTTTTAAACATTTTTGCCACAGCTAAGGGGTAGTAAAACATATATTTTTAAAGATTTATTTCTTATCTTTTTAAAGATTTATTTTTTTATTACAAAGTCAGATATACAGAGAGGAGGAGGAGAGACAGAGAAGATCTTCTGTCTGATGATTCACTCCCCAAGTGATGGCAATGGCCAGTGGTGCGCTGATTCGAAGCCAGGAGTCTGGAGCTTCTTCTGGGTCTCTCACACGGGTGCAGGAATCTGAGGCTTTGGGCCATCCTCCACTGCTTTTCCAGGCCGCAAGCAGGGAGCTGGGTGGGAAACAGGGCTGCCAGGATTAGAACCAGCATCCATATGGGGTCCTGGCACGTTCAAGGTGAGGATTTTAGCTGCTAGGCTACGGCACCAGGCCCAGGCTTATTTATTTTTATTGGAAAGTGAGATATGCAGAGAGGTGGAGAGACAGAGAGGAAGGTCATTTTTCCAATGGTTTACTCCTCAAGTGACCACAATGGCCTGAGCTGCACCTGCCTGAAGCCAGGAGCCAGGGGCTTCTTCTGGGTCTCCCACATGGGTATAGGGTCCCAAAGCTTTGGGCTGTCCTCAACTGCTTTCCTAGGCTGCAAGCAGGGAGCTGAATGGAAGCAGAGCCCCCAGGATTAGAACTGGCACCCATATGGGATCCTGGTGTGTGCAAGGTAAGAACTTTAGCCACTAGGCTGTTGTGCCAGGCCCGGACAGTAAAACTTAAGTTGTTTAGTTTATGGTTACTTGTAAAATTAAAAACATTAAAATCTGTGTGTTTTCTGTGCAACAAACATTTCAGTTAGATAGGTTGCTTCTGTCATTAATGATACAGAGCAGGTTTTTTAGTTTGTTTTTGTTTATGTTTTAATTCATTTTATTTGATAGCAGAGAGAGAGAAAGAACTGGTTCTGCACCTGCTGGTTCCTCTCCCAGATGCCGAGGAACTGAGAACTTAACCAGGGCTGTCTCCCCTATGGGTGGCAGGGACCCCAGTATTGGGGGCTGGGACTCCGACCTGGGTGCTGTGCTGGGGAAGGTAGATGTGATAGCAAGGCTCTTTGTTACGCCTCTGCAGATGGTGGCGCTTGTTCCTAGCCTGAATCAGCTCCCAAAGCTCGTGCTTCTGGTGCTGTGAGAGCTCTGCTCTAGGATGCAGCTGTGGTCAGCGCTGCCTCCTCCAGGGCCTCTGCATCCTCTTCACCTCTTCATCTTCACCCCTGTCTGCAGTGGTGAGGATAAGTTCACCGTGTTCCTCCAGCACGTGCTAGTGGTGGCCCTGGCAGCATCCCATAGCTGTCTCCTTTGTTTTTTCTTTATTCCATTTATGTGACAAGTTTCAACTCCAGCTTTAGCTTTATTTGGTTTTTGTTTCTTTGCTGGTCTTTTGTTGTCTTAGCAATTCCTGATTTGGCCACTGTGAAACAAGGAGGCAGCACAGCTAAGCAGTCTTGTTCTGCCTGAGCTGAGATGTGCGGTGAGCAGTCACTGGCTGAAGATTTGATGTGGTTGCTCGCTGATCCTGACTATGCCTAAAGGTTGCAGTGTAATTTGTACTCCCTGTAGGTGCTCGAGTTAACAGGCCATGATAACTGAAGTTTGAAGTGTTGGCAAACTGGTGACCTTGACATAGTTGTTGTAGCAGATCTCTTAAATGATGGGGTCTCCCCTGCCACATAACAGAGAAAACATTAAGGAAAATGAAAGGTGTGGTGTTGGTGTGGCCTTTGCTTCCAGCATGGTTTGGTCGCTTCATGTGTAAGATAGAGAAGAGGAGCTGCGTGGTTGGTTCCAGAAGAAAAGATTGAAGCAAAAGATGTTGCTAGGTTCTTAGGTGCCTAGCATCCTAGAGGATGCTTCTGTGCTGCTCAACGGTTGGAGTCCATAGGAAGGAGCACAGCTATTAGCAGTGTGGATGAGCTATTTAATCTCCCTGGGCCTTCATGTTCTAATCTTTAAAGAGGAGATGCTATGTGGTACTGAATGCAGAGAAGCCTGGACAGGTCACCACCCTGGCCCCTTACTACAGATTTTTTAAAATGTAACTTGTCAACCTCGAAAATGGCTCATTTTTAAAATGGTAGCTTTAAGTATTTTCTCTGAGTTATACTAGTTACATTTCTCAGTTAGGGTTTATTTGCCTTAAGGTAAATCTCGGTCTGCTTAGCTGCTGAAGGAGCGAGCGGTCTAAAGAATGTGTGTAGAATTTTTGACAGTATTATTGATGACTTCCTCCTATTTTTCTGAAATTATTCCTGCAAAGCATTAACTGTCCTATTTGTATACAGTGTTTTCTCTGTAAACCCTCACACATATTGGTTTGCTTTGTTGCTACGTTATTTGGGTGTTTTCTTACCAATTTACTTCTGTTAAGCTTTAAAAAAATTTTTTTAAAGGCAATGAGATTTTTGATGTTTGCAGATTTCACTTTCAGATGAATGTTTTTGGTAGTATTTTCTGGAAAGTCAGTTTGAGAAGACATCAGCTTTTCTTTTAACTCTTTTCAATAAGTCAGTTTAAAATAACTGGGACTACAGCTAATTTAAAATAACTGGCATATAAATTACTGTTAAACCATTTCTAGAAACTTGGATTGCTTCTGTCCTGTTTTTACATGTGGCCCACTGTGTGTGTGCATAACCCAGTGTAGAGTAGGTGACTCAAATTGATTGCTGTTTGCTTCCCCCTAGCAACAGAAGAGAAGAAATCTCTGAAGCGGACTTTTCAGCAGATACAGGAGGAGGAGGATGATGACTACCCAGGAAGCTACTCTCCCCAGGATCCTTCCGCAGGACCCCTCCTGGTAGGTCTGACCCTCAGAAGATGGGCTTCTTACCTCTAGTTGAGGATTACAGTCACAAGGTGGCGCCAGTAACCAATGTTATGGACTCAACATAGGGCATGACTCTGCCCCAGTGCAGGATCCCACCCACTGAAGCCAGCCAGCCAGTAGGCTTCACTTTGTTCTTGTGTGTCGTGATCTTGCAATGGGTTTATTTTATGAAAGTGTTGGACCTGTTTTTTCACTCCAAAAAATTAAAAATATTTTTTAAAAATGATTTTTGTGAGAGTAATGTTCCATACACATGCACAAATCTTCTGCCAAGACTTCTCTCCACTAGCTTGATGGTTTTATCGGTAAGCACTAAGTACTATGGAAGGACAGTCTGTGAAGAAATTGGTCTTCAACCAGTTGTTTGCATTATTTGACCCTTTGTGTAAATTAATTCCTGACCTCTGGTTGGTTCATTTCCTCTAATCACAATCGGAGAAAGTGAGGCTGGAGGAGCAGGTGAAATAACATGCCCATTTGAGTCCAGGCCTGTTTGACTTTGATGCCTACACCCTTCTCATTGGTTCACAGTGCCCCTTCTTTTGCCTAAAACAGCTTTACGATTTTATACGTAGGTGTATTTAAAGCGTGTATAAATAGGAAATGTTCCAATTTGTGTTTTGTTAACATGATTAATTAAGGTGGGTATTAAATGACTGTGGAGTGAGGTCATAAACACATGAGTTTAAAAAGCAGTGAAGAGCACAGCCTGGATTATCAGACTTTAGGGTAATCCAGCAATGACTGCAGAGTCAGCTACTCCCAGGTCACAGGGACCTGCCTGACCTGCCAGCATGGTCTGTTTTCTCCTTTTAATATACACAGGGTTTGTGTTCTAGGTTTGCTTTCTTATTTTTGCTCCTTTGTGTTTGTGTCTAATGAGTTTGACCATTTAATTTTGGAAGTGATTTTCGTTTTGTAAAGCAACCTAAGAGAACTCAGATAACATACTGTTGTCAAGCACAGATTTTTATATATATTAAAGATTGTATACTGGAAATAATGCCTCATTTAAAATTAAGGAATGTAAACCATTTTTCTTTAAAGGATCCATTTTTCTTTAAAGATTTATTTATTTGCAAGGTAGAATTAGAGATGAAGGCCTTCTGTTTGTTGATTCTTTCCCCAAATGGCAACAGTAGTCAAGAACCAGTAGCTTCATACAGTGAGTGACCCAAATAGCCATCTGTAACAGCTTCATACACCAGTGTCACAGATGGTTTACTGCTGGACTGCTACACTGGCCCTTGACACTATTTTTTTATTTTTTGTAAGATTTATCTTATTTTTATTTGAACAGAATTAACAGGGAAAATGAGAAACACAAAGAGATCTTTCATCTATTGGTTCATTCCGCAAATGGTTGCAGTGGCTGGAGCTTAGTTGATCTAAAACCAGGAGCTAGAGCTTCTTCTATTCTCCCACGTCAGTGAGGGGTCCAAAGACTTGGGCTGTCCTCTGCTTCTTTTCCAGGCCATAAACAGGGAACTGGATCTGGAAGTGGAGCAGCGGGGACTCAAACTGGTACCCATAGGTGATGCCTATGCTGTAGGTGGAGGCTTAGCTATGGTGCCAGCACTGACTCTATTTTCTTAAGTTACCAAAAATGTGTTGTTTTACATGCTTTGAAAAATGAAGTATGCAGAATTTCATTAGTGTCATAGAATCCATATTCCTTTGGAATCCATATTGCTGAATTCTGTATTAGTCCTTAGACCAAGAACAGGTGTTTGGTTTTTTTTTTTAAGATTTATTTTTAATCAAAAGTTAGACTTACAGAGAGAAGGAGAGACAGAGGGAAAGATCTTTTGTTCGCTGATTCACTCCCTAAGTATGCACAGTGGCCAGAGCTGGGCTGATCCTAAGCCAGAAGCCTGGAGCTTCTTCTGGGTCTCCCATGCAGGTGCAGGGTCCCAAGGCTTTGGGCCTCCCTCGACTGCTTTTCCAGGCCACAAGCAGGGAGCTGGATGGGAAGTGGAGCAGCCAAAATATACAGCGGCACCCATTTGGAATCCCGGCACATGCAAGGTGAAGACTTTAACATGCTGGTTAACTGGGCTGCCATGCTGGGCCCAGAACTGATTTTTTTGTTTTGTTTTAAGGATTTGTTTTGAAACAGATCTTACACCACTGGCTCACTCCCCAGATGGCCACATTAGCCAGTGCTGAGCAAGGCTGAATTCAGGAGCTTCTTCTAGGTCTCCTTTGTGAGCAAGAATGGCCCAAAAACTTGGTTCATTTTCCTGTGCTTTTCTCAAGCCATTATCGGGAACCTAGATTGAAAGTAGAACAGCAAGGACTCAAACCAGCATCCATTTGGGATGCTGGGATTGCAAGTGGCAGCAGCTTTACTTCCTATGCTGCGGTCCAAGACCCAAGACCAATTAAAAAATAAAAACTCCAGAATGAATGTTCTCGAAGGTTGCCTTTGCCTCATTTAACACCTGATAATTGTCTTTAAGTTCCATATGTCTTAATGGATAATGTTGGTGTTTCCACTTCACAGACAGAGGAGCTCATCAAAGCTTTGCAAGATCTAGAAAATGCTGCGTCAGGGGATGCTACTGTCCGACAGAAGATTGCATCTCTGCCCCAGGAAGTGCAAGATGTTTCTTTATTGGAAAAAATAACAGGTGAGAAGATAGAGCTTGGATATCAGGAGAAACAGACATCTCTATTATCCTTTCCCGAAGCAGCAAACAATATGATGATGGGCTTAGGTCTTCAGTGTAGACTGCATGTGTTGGGACTCTGCTACCTTGGGATTTGCAAGCGAAACTCAGTTGATAAACAGAAAAGCTCCTGGAATAGTTGGTTTTCATGGTAGTTCTGAAAACTACTGCAGAAATCATGGTATGTCCCTCTAAAATCTCCAATATCTGCTTAAAACAATATAAATTGTGGGAGGGATACTCAGAACCCTCTCGCACTTAGACTAATCTATGATGCAGACCAAGTGGTTAATATACTCCATATGCTGTTAACCCCTGACCATGATTTGGTGTCAGAAATTTTAGGCGTTGTTAGTGTTGTCATTTTTCATTGATGCTGATAACCCCTAATTAAACAGGGCAGTTGACATAATTCCTGTTTTCCACATAGGAAATGGGAAGGAAAGAATGAAGCATATACTAACCATTATAGGAGGATGCCTTGTGCCTGCTACAGATTACTGTCATAATAACCTTTGAAGTTCACTGCAGGTGCAGATCCACATTGTATCAGAGGAGGCTAAACCTCTAGATATGAGTGTCTTGCCCACAGTCACACAAGTGTTCAATCTTGGGATTCCAGCCTTTTCTGCAACACCCATGACACAAACCTGGGCCTTTCACTCTACACTCTTCTGAAGGCCATGATTTTTTTCCTGCAGTTCCCTCAACTTGACTGCTTCCCAGACTTCTTCCAAATCCATCAAGAAATTAAGGTTACTCAGCAAGTATTTATTTAATTCAGCAAACAGGTGAGGACTGCTCTATCATAGGCTCCTGTGGTGTCCCCACCATATTCTTGCGGGGCTACAATACCAAGAAGCAGGAGTTTGGGGGCAGAGGATGACTGAGGTGGTCAGGGAACCTTTTCTAAGCAGAGACTACACAACTTAGGAAGCAATCTTTTTTTTTTTTTTAAAGATTTATTTATTTTTATTGGATAGACAGATTTACAGAAAGAAGGAGAGACAGAGAGAAAGCTCTTTGTTCCTCTGGTTTGTTCCCCACGTGGCCACAGGAAGCTGGATGGAAAGTGGATCAGCCAGGACACGAACTGGCACCCATATGGGCACCCATATGGGTTGCCAGGCGAAGATTTGGCTGCTAGGTTGTCACACTGGGCACAGGAAGCGATCATAGGAGCTGTGGGGGAGAAGCATGTGTCACCAGTTGGGGAAATAGTACATAGGAAGCCCTGGAAGCCAGAGTGGTTGGTTGGAGAATATAGCACAGCCCTTTCTGGGTGGGGCTACAAACTTAACCACAAACCCTAGTTTTCCTCAAACGTTTAAGTCCGTTGTCTTTCTTTTAATCGCTTGAGAGACCAAGAGATGGGCAGAGAAAGAGAAAGCTGTATTCCTGCTGGTTCACTCCCCACATGCCTGCAGTGACCCTGGGCCAGGCCAGAAATAGAAGCTAGGAATCCCACCAAGTTTCCCATGTGGGTGGGAGGAATCCAGTTACCATTCCCTTGGCTTCCTAGGGTCCACAGCAACAGGACACTGGGGTCGGAAACCGCCACCAGGTGTCAGAGCCAGGCCCCTTGTCAAGGGAACTCGAGTCACCACTACTACAAACCTTATTCTTTTGATCAGAATCAATAAATGCAGAAATTGAACACAAATTGTATAAACATTATGGTATATGTTTACCTCTCATTTTATTCTTCTAAATGTCTTAATTAGCCTGTATTTTAAATACCTCCTTTTGGTTCTTCGTTTTGGCAAAATTTGCATTAACATACAATGGAAAAGCACACAGGACATCAGAATGTACTGTTTCAGTGGTGGGAAGAGCTTTTACCTTGTTGTGCCACCTGTTTCTAGAATTCCTTTCATCTTGTAAAGCAAAGTCTGTATCCATTAATTAAACAGCTTCATTTCTCTTTCTGCCCACTCTGTCGTAGCCCACATTCTTAAATCCACTTTTTCATCTGTTCCTTCCCTTTACCCTGCAGTTACTGTGTGACTAAAAAAAGTTGCGTCTTCGCTAAATTTTTCTTCTTTGTCTGATGAACATGCTCTTTTCTCTTTTTTCCTTGTTTCCTTGCATCATTATATCTTAGAAGAAGGGAGCACCTCCATCTGCTGCTTTGTTCCCCAGATGCTGGCAACAGCCAGGGTGGAGTGAGGCCTGAACCCGGAGCCGGGAGCTCCAGCCATGTCTCCTTTGTGGATGTCCCGCTTACTGGAGACATCATTTTGTCTCTGGATAGGTCATTCTGAATCTGAATAGTATTACAAAAAAAAAAAAAGCCTAATTCCCATTTTCTCAGAAGGAGAAATTTTTTCTTAACTCCCTGTCTTGCTGTAGCTGCTCTGTCATTTTTTCGGTTCTGTTTCCACTTTGGCTCTTCCTCTTCTCTCCTTTTTAAAAAAATTATCTTTGATGTTGTTTAAATAATTGAGAAGGATGTGTGCCACGTGGACTGCTGATTAGGGTAGGGAGGGTCAAGGCATGGGGGAAAGTGGGTGAGACAGATGCTTGCAATTTTCTTTCTCCTGCATGGAGTTGCAGAGGGAAGGAAGGGAAAAGGGAACCTTCTCCCAGCAGCCAAACCACAAACTGCTTTCAGAGTTGCTAATGACTTCCCTGTTAAATTCAGGAATTCTCTGCCCTCAACCTCAGGAGATTTTGACCCCTTGTTTCTTTCCTCTTCCTTAAGATACTTCCTTCCCTCAGTCTGGCAGACAAAATATTGCCTCGCCTCTCTTCATGGCCGTGTCCCAGTCCCTGGGATCTGTGTCCCCCGTGTCAGGAGGAATTTCACAAATGGATTAAGTTAAGCATGTGGAGATGATGACATTCTCTCAGATTGCCTGGAGGGGGCGCTTCTGTAACCACAGGGTCCTTGTAAGAGGTGGGCAGAGGGAAAGACAGGAGATTTTGGTGCTGAAGCAGAGACATGCTTGGTGAAGTGCCAGGGTAGTACAGGGATACAGGCTGCAGGTTTTCAGCCACTGGCTTTGCGGTGGGTTTGTTGCAGCAGCTCCCACTGCATCCCTGCTGGCTTCTCAGGCACCATTGCCTTTTAGGCTTCCTGCTCTTTGTTCACTTCTGTGAGCTCTTCATGCTGGCCACTAGCCTTCTTCCAAAGCTTGTTTCATTGACATTTGGTCTCAACCAGTATATAATTTTAAACATTTTGTATTATGATGATTCCATAATTTACATATTTAATGTTGACCTCCTTGAACTTGGGACCCACACATCCAGCCGCCTCAGTATCACTGAACCTGCCCTAACTGCACTTCTGTTCTTCGGATCTTCCCTCTAGAATTCATTTATCTCAGGGCCTTCCCCATGTGATAAATGGCCTCTTCTCATTCCTGGTGGTCAGGAACAAAGAAAGCATCTGATAGCTCTTCAGCAGCCCTGTCGTTGAAGCTGGTTCCATTCCAGCCATCCTCACTGGGATTGTTGCTGCGGCCTCTTTGAAGAAACACAGTAACCCAAGGGATCCTGGGAACAGAAGTCTGCCATCGTTTCCCTTGTTTTAGGTCAGCACAGTTTCTCCACTCTTGCCTAGTCCTAGAATACAAGGTTGCTCCTTCCTGACCTCTGCATCTCCCCCATTGCCTTGGGGAAATATTTTCACTTCCATGTTACTCACGGCTGGCGTCTCCCTGTCAGCCTTTCAACTTCCTTCTTCCGAGGAAGTCTACAGATTGTTGCATGGCCTGTTCTCTCATTTCCTTTAGCCCTTGTTTATACACCACCTCCGTGTAGCCCACCCTGACTACCTTCCTAACAATTGTGATTCCTATCTGCCCTGTTCTTTCTCCTCTGCCTTGTTTTTGTGTAGAACTTGTGTCAGTTGGTGAATCAGTATAGTGTTGTGTATTGTCTTTCTTCCTCCCTGCGAATATAAACTGGAGGGTAGAAAGTTTATTTGTCCTGTAATAGGAGCTCAAGTATTTGTTAAGCTAAGTGGAAGGCTTTGAGTTGAGGTCTGGTAGGAATGCAAGTCTGGGGTGGATTTAGTGTCATAGGAGGGAGATAGGGAAGTGGGGAGGAAGCTGCAGAGTGCTTGTGTCTGTGCTGATGATATTTTTCCTAGGGAAACACAAGGGGTGCTGCCAAAGTGGAGCCTTTGAGTGAGCATTGGGGAGTAGGGTGCTTGTGCACAGTGGGGTTGCTGGCAGTAAAAGGCCTGCAGCCACTTGCCTGCTTGAGGGAAGGCAGAGCACCTGAGGGCAGTAACAACCAAGTCTCCTGAAGCCAGTCTCCTGCTTCTGAGATTTTACTGTGTTGTCTTGGCTCAGACTGTGGTACCAGTGTGACAGTGTAGGCTTGGCTGCCCGTCATGCCAACATCCTTGCTTTCCTGTGGGCTCTGTCCTGAGAGGGTGGAAGTGTCTGATATTGGGCATCGTACCAGTCTCCCAGTATTCATATTGTGAGGTCTAAAGCCAGGCAAATGTCTGCCAAACAGAGACAATGTATTGGGGATTCTTAAATCCTGTTTACCAAGAAGAATGCCATGAGCTGTCATCTCTGTTGCCCTGTGTTGGAACAAGCAGCAAAGGCAGATAACTGTCACCCAGCTTGTGTTGCTCCTCAGAACTGGTGCTGCCTTTGGTGCTGCTGATTCCAGAGTACCCACCAACCATCAACTGTTTTTTCTTTTTCTTTTCTTTTTTTTTTTTTTTAGGATTTATTTCTTCATTTGAAAATCAGAGAGGTGGCCTTCTATCTGCTGGTTGGTTCATTCCCCAGATGGCCACAATGGCCAGGGTTGGGCCTGGGTGAAGCCAGGAACATTGTTAGGGTCTTCGTGTGAGTGGCAGAGGCTCAAGCACTTGGGCCATCTTCTGCAACTTTTCCTAGGCCACCAGCAGGGAGCTGGGTCAGAAGTGGAACAGGTGGAACTTCAACCCTTGCCCATGTGAGTTTCTGGGAATAGTATTGCGGGCAGCAGCTCCACCCACCAGGCTACAATGTCTTATGAGCTGCAGAGAGAGCAGGAGAGACATATGTTCCATCTGCTGGTTCACTCCCCAGATGGCTACAGTATCCAGGCCTGGGCTGCTGCAAAACCAGGAGCCAGGTGGATTTACAGGGTCTCACGTGGGTGCAGGGGCCCAAAGACTTGAGCCATCCTCCACTGCTTTCAGGCCATAAGCAAATCTGCTGGATCAGAAATGAAGCAGCTAGACCTGAAGCAGAACCCACATGGCATGCCAGTGGCACAGGCGGGGAGTATCAGGTGGCTATGCCACCATGCTGGCCCCAACCAGCCCCTGTTTTGATCTCTAAAGATATGTTTAAAATGACATTTCAGTTTAATCTCACTACTACCCACATGCAATTAATTATGCCAGTTCTTTATAGTAAATGTAATTTTTTTTAAAGTTTTTTGTTTGTTTATTATATAGATCTCTCATCCACTGGTTCACTCTCCAAATGTCCATAACAGCCAGGTCTGTGGTAGTTCCAAGCTAAAAACTAAAAACTAAACCCAGTTCTCCAGTGTGGACATCAGGGACTCAGGCACTTGAGCTGGAGCTTACCTGCTGCCTCCCAGGGGTACATATTAGCAAGAAGCGGGAATTGGAGCAGAGTCAAAACTCAAGCCCAGATGTTCTGCTGCTTGATGCTGGTGTCGCAAGTAGCATCTTAACTGATAGACCGAATGTTCACCCCTGAGATTACCCTTTTGGTTTTTCTCATTTCCTGATGTTGAGCCTTTGCTTAACACTTCTTTCCAAGAATACCTTTCTTATATTTCACAGCAGGTTTTTCCCAGAAGCATGAGTTGCAACCTGTTAGACACAAAATTGGCTGGTAAGATAATGACCAACGTCTTTATGAAGAAAGGAAAAAAAAAAACCACTTTATACCATAGTAATGATTTTATTTTATACACTTTTTAAAATTTTTAACAAGGTATGTTTCTGTGTGGGGATCATATTTAATAGTATTTGAAAACGCCTGTTTACATCAGCTGCTATACTTTGCAGAATTCAAAGAAGGAAGGGAGAAAGGAGTGGACGATAGCTGTGTTTGAGAGATCCGGCTTTGAATGTGAGCTTCCCTGGCCACCTGTCAAACCAGTCATGTGGTTCTATATCTTAGTTTCTGCACCCTAAGAATTAAGTGCTTGCTTTTTTTTATTTCAAAAGAATATAAAAGGAATGCTAATGAAAGCACTGAAACTTCTCAGAGGCAAGGAAAATCTCTTTCATAGGTAACTTTGAATTCTCTGTTTGCATTTTGTGTTTATGGAGCTTTGGCAGAAATGGGCATTAAAGAGCGAAGCTGGACTCCCTTCCCTGTGCAGTTGCCTCACTCCAGGTAATTCATAAATGTCCTGTCTTGTTGACAGAGTAAATGCCTTTGGGTTTCTTGATCTGCTAACTCATTGCTTGTCCACAGATTCTGGCTTATTTGCAGACTGGTACATTGGGAGAGAAACTGTCAGCTCTCTCCCATCCTCCTCCCCTTAGAATGTCTGCAATCATGCCTTATGTGAGTTGCTTAATTGTCTATTTTTTGGTTTCATTTATACTTAGACAAAGAAGCAGCTGAACGTCTCTCAAAAACAGTAGATGAAGCATGTCTGTTACTAGCCGAATATAACGGTCGTCTGGCAGCAGAACTGGAGGACCGGCGCCAGCTGGCTCGGATGCTGGTGGAGTACACCCAGAATCAGAAGGATGTTTTGTCAGAAAAGGAGAAGAAGCTAGAAGTGAGTACATTGCAAAGCAGGCCCAGACTGCCCAAGTTTCTCTTGTTTCTCACTCATGTTAGGACACTAACTTTGCCTTAATTATTGGAGTTTTTATCCTTTTAAAAGTGAAGATTTCAGCCTGTTTAAAAATTGAAGTGTTCTAACATGTCCAGGAAAGATTAAATGGGATTGTAGAAAACAAGCAACAAATTCTACAGCTTTTAGAATCAGTATTGCCTTAGTTTGATTTCTCTTTAAAAAAAAAAAAAATAAGAAAAAGGAGTACATTGTGGTACAAAAGGAACGGGTAGACAGCAAACCTAAAGAATGCTTATTTGGTGATATTTGTGAAATCCTTCAAAATTTCTTTGAGTTGTATTGAGGTTCATTTCTGACTTGTGTCCACCTGAAGACCAGCAAGTCACTTGCTTCTCAGCTCCATGCGTCCTGGCTGGTTGTGGAGGGCCTTGGTCCAAGTGACCTAGGAGAGGGAGTTCAGGAGCATGTCCTTGCTGTGTACCTGTTTGGCGTCTTAGTTGGGTACACGGTGGTTTAACACTGTGCTTACTCCACTTGCAATAAGAAAGCAGCAGTGTGGATATTTGAGCGTTCTTTCTGGCCCCAACGCCACACTGCTGGGCTTACTTCCTGTTTTTTTTTCGAAGACTTAGGATTGTTGTAACCACTGGTTTTGTGGAGAAGGTTCTGAACTGGAGAATGAGTCACAGAATAGGAAAGAGTCACCCCTTAGATCCATGCTAAGTGGATAAGGGGGAGGGGAAGCTCCTTATGCCCACACTTAGGGAAACTCATTGTCTGGCACAGTGGGAAGGAACACTGGGCTGACCACATGCTGTGATTGCTCCATTTCCTTTCAGCGCAATCAGCTGACTGGGAGGGGAATGAGTGATGGCCTCTTTACCATATCTGTACCTGCAGTGATTACAGGCTGTAATGAGTGGTGATAGGAACTTGGTATTCTGAGCCAGCCTGACTGGGGGAGATGGGAAATGGCTGTAAAAATAGAATGGCTTGGAGTTAGAAATCAGCACTGACCAGAAATCCCGAAGGGAGTTTCATAGGCGTTACCAGACGGCTATTTACCCGAAATGCTCATCTTTCACTGAGGAACCTTTTTCAGTCCTGTGCCCCGGGACTAATCAGAGAGTGTAATTAATGATTCTGGTTGTAAGTCACCATGCCATCTGGTGAGCTGCCTCTTGGCGACACATTAAGGGCTTTCTCTGATCTGTCAGATGTTGATTACCTTGAGCAGCTGCTGTTGGGTAGGACATGGCTTGCTACAGTATAGGACAGAGTCTTGAAGAAGGTTGGGTTGGTAGAGCCAGTTAACACTTCAGTTTGCTTCCCTTCCCCACAGTCGCACCCCCCTCTATACTTTTTGGAAACCAGTCTGGTTTCGTTGCAGCCAGTGAATAGGTGATTGCCACCAGGGTTGCTAGTCAGAGGACTGGTTCTGAGGTTGAATCTGTCTTGTAATGTTACAGCCTGCATTCCTCGACTCTGCAATGGTTAGCCCTGGGTTTCCATTCAGAAGCAGAGCAGGAAGGCCCTAGTACTGAAACAGGTGCAGTCTGAAGTAAAGGTTCCTGTCCTAAACCATGTCTCCCAGCTGCTTGAGCAGAAGTAGATATAGCATGCTGAGATATGGTTATTTATCCGTGCTTGCTAAAAATGTAAATCTTCCCACCAGAAGCTCAGATTTCCTCTTAAATCTTACAGTAAGTTGATCTATATCACATCCCTATGTTGATGGTAAAACTTAATAAGGGGCTGGCTCTGTGGCACAGTGGATTAAGCCACTGCTTGCAACCCCCAGCAACCCATATGAGCACTAGTTCAAGTCCTGGCTGCCCCACTTCTGGTTCAGCTTTCCCTGTACCTGGGAAAACAGTAGAAGATGGCCAGGAACATGTTGGAGACCCAAATAAAACTCCTGATTTCATCCTGGCCCTGCCCTTGTTCTTGCAGGCTTTGGGTTTGGGGGAATAAATCGGCAAAACTCTCATTCAATTCAATAAATAAATCTTAAAAAAAAAAAAGGAGGAGGAGGCTTGGTAAACATGTGTCACATGAAAAACGTATTAATACAGTGAATCCTTCCAAATCCTTCAAAAGTCTCTTGCTGGTATGACATAAGCTGTAGCTATCTTTTTAATATTCATTTTATAACACAGTTGGTTCTTGTTTTCAAATTGCCAAGTCAGTATGTTAATGAAATCCTATTGAATGCTTTTGTTGCCTTCAGTGTATAAATGTTAGAACTTCATACTTTGTTTGGAAACGTGCATATTTACTTGGGCTTTTGTTTTTCTTCCCAGAGCTGTAATTTGTTAACACTTAGGCTTGTTTGTTTTGTAAGTTTATATCTTTATGTGTCAGGCATCTTTTTTTAATTTTTAGTTACTTAGGAAACAGAGTTAGAGAAACAAAAAAAGATGCGTTTTTCTATGCACTGATTTACTTCTCAGATGGTCAGGCTGAAGCCAGGAGCCTGGAACTCCACCTGAGCCTCCCCCATGGGTGTCAGGTGCCAGGTGCTTAGGCTCATGAGGGAGCTGGATCAGAAGTGCAGTAGCCAGGGCTCAAACCAGCACTCATACAGGATCCCAGTGTCTCAGGCAGCAACTTAACCTACTGTACTACAATACCAGCATGGAAGTGTTTGGGGTTTTTTTCTTGAGAATTTTGTTTTCTGGGTATCATGTTAGTTTTAGGTTCCTTTGTGGCTTCTATACTTGGGGATGGGAGTTTTGTATTGATTCAGGGATTAGGATGTTGGAGTTAGAGTTCATGAAAAGAAATTATCTATTAAGGAAAATGCATTCTGGTATAATCGGCATAGGAGAGCATAAAATTGAACTGTCTTTGTCATGTAGTTTTAGGGGGATATCGGGCCGTTCTTACTGTGGTTTGAGGGAAACCCAAACTTCCTGTCAGGCAATATTTTCTGTAAAGGGAATTGGCAGCTGAAGGAGAGAAAATGTATCTATGCCTGGGGAGCAGCCTGACTGGCCCAGACAAGTGTGTGAAGACTAGAAGGCAGAGGCTATTGGAAAGAGGTTCCCGAGACCACTGCAGGCCGGGAGAACCCGTCAACTGTGCATGCCTCGTGGAACTGCTCCTTCCTTGGGGTCAGCGGAGCAAGAGGCAGGGCAGTAGATGCAGTAGGAGGGCACTATGTGGTTCCCTCCCCGGGGAGTCTGGGCACCCCTAGGACTAAGCAGCAAGTGAGGATGTGAGCAGTGTTGTGAGTAAGGGGCATGTTGTAGCTCACTGTGTCTCGGTTGAAACAGAGAACTACCTCTGCTTGCGCCTTCTGCGGTGCTTGTGGACTCTGTGTGCTGCCGGCCTGTTCTCACAGGACCACAACTGTGTGTTTGTACCTCAGTTAAAATTTATTCTGTGACTGACATTCTCCACTTTTTCTATGAGGGAAAGTTTCTTTTCCAGGTTGCATTTCAAGTGGTTTGAGGTGCATGAGTGTTGGTAGAGAGGTGACTCTGATAGAAACTCTTTGGTTTTCTCCTTTATGCTACTTTTCCTTTTAGAAGAATTGTGGTTCATTGTAAGATAATGGTCTTTTTCACCCACTGTTCACTATTTCTATGTTGCCCCAGTTTGCATTGGCCTACCACCTTTCCTATAAATTCCAGAAGGGATGCCATTGAAAATCTGTTTGTAGTGCTTTTGTCACGAAAGTGAGAAAACCAGGGGTTGGAGAAGGCAGCCTGTGTGAGGAAGCACAGATAGCACCCCACAGTGAGGTCAGAGGCCGGAGGGTGTCAGCAAAGGTAAGGCCCAAATGGCACCAAAAGAGTCTCCAGTTGTCACTTGCTGGAGCAAGGGGATGTTTCTTGTTCACAGGGGAGACTACTACCCAGGTGACTGCTACAAGCTGATAAGCTGTAGACATCAGTGCGTTAGACAGAATTTCTAATCAGTTTGAGTAAGTTATTGTGTGTGTGTGAGACCTACCTATTTTAAGGAGTTTTTAAAATGTTTGTTACGTAGATGAGGTGATTGCAGACCCATGCATGTGTCTGGATGGGATAGAAACAGACAGGGGTGGGGAAGGGAGACCTTGTCCTCCCTCTTTTGACCGCCAGGGATGGGGTGGAATGATGTGCTGCTGCTCCTGGCTGCCAGATTACAGCAGCACTAGCAGGCAGAGATGGTCCCCTGATGTTGTCATCCCAGGAATGCTGATGGTGGAAGAATGTCCGGGGGTGTTACTTGAATAGTCTCCATTGTTCTGGAATGGTTTTGGGTTTGTTGCGCCAGGTGGGATACCACTTCCCTTATACCCCAGCTGTCTGTTTCAGTACTTCCATAGCCTTAGCTGTTTTGTGGAGAATTTTGGCCTGTTGCAATGTTCCACCTGCTGTTCCCCATGAAAACGTTATGCCTGTGTCAGAAACTCTGTTGCCTCTGTGGGGGGTGATTTTTGGATGCAGTCCTATTGTATCAATCTATGTGTCTATCTGCCACGCTGTTGTGAGCACTACAGCTTTGTGGTAAGTTTTAAAATCAGGATTATGAATCTTCATTTTTTTTTCCCAATGTTATTTATTTAGGGTATCTTGGAATTGTGTTAATTTCAGGGTCAGCTTTTTTATTTCTGCAGAAGTAGAGAAGTCATAGCTTTTGAGGATCAATTTCAGTTTTGTTCTTGTCCTTTTAAATGTTCCAATCCATGAACATGGGGTACCGTTACACTTTTTTAAAGCTTTTGTTTCTGATTCAAAACTTTAAAAAGCATCTTGGAGTGACACTTTTTGTTGCATTTGACACCATAAATTCCTGTTACAGGTGCATTAGGTAATGAGGGTCACAGATTAAGGGCAGAATATTGCCTTTTCAGTGATCACTCTGTGAAGTGTGTATATTACATCTACATTCAGATTTAACAAAAAAATTTTTTTAAGGATTTATTTACTTATTTATTGGAAAGTCAGATATACAGAGAGGAGGAGAGACAGAGAGGAAGATCTTCT